CTTGCTATATAATCAACTTAAATCAGTTAAATCCATCATGCAATGCATTTCCTTCCAATTTTTTATGATAAACTAATAGATAATTGACTAAATAAACATCCTGCAAAGTTTCAATAAAAATTTCCAAGTTTTTCTTACAATTTCCGTGGTTTTTATTCAATTTTTTCCGATACCGATAATATTCCGATATTTCCGATACCTCCGATATTTAAGACCTTGATTATATCTACTGGGTTTTTAGTATCGTGGAAAAGGCCTCCACAAGATTTATGGGTTGCTTGACTATTTGACTTTGAAGTCTTTCCCCATCTGTCTAGTGGGGCTACAATCTAACATGTAGCTGGTTGGGACTTAGCATAAGTAGACTGTTCTGTTCAATGCTGCCTTCCCATTTTCATTTTTTTGGTTACTATCGTTGACTGACTAATTAAAGTGTTGAAAGAAAGCAGCGGGGGAAGTGGGTGGGAAATTTCGCCCTTCAAATACCATCAGAGCCAAGTAAATTTATTGAAAACAGAGCAGAAAGATACACACTAAAATATTCTAGGCATAACATGGAGGCCAGCTGCATGGCTCCTCATAGCCATTTCAACGTCTCCACCTTTGATTTATGTGAACATGTCTTCTATGGTTACCAACTCTTTCCTCCAGCTGAGGGAATATCTTGACAAGGATGCTATACATAGCTTTGTAGTACCATTTACTCAATCTCTTGCAGAACACAAGTGACCCAATGGCAATTGCACACCCAAATGTAAATCCGATTTCAATGCTAATAAGATCCCAATCAATCTCATTATGTCCAGATCCAGAATCCGGAAGGCTTCCATTCTATGTTGGTGGTGGTGGCAATTAGTTTTAGAGATGTTTACACCATAATGAATGGCCAATTGGAGTAGAACACGTGGACAGGATCGAGTCTGGTCAAGATTGCCTTCGGCACCCAGGCTACCGATCCTGTCATTAGGGCAACACCCACTTGAAGGACACGTGGCGCGCTCACAATCGACGTCCACAGTCCCACATCGAAATTCTACATCAAATGCACACCTCCCAAGGCCTATAAAAGAGGCCAACTACCCCAAAATAGAGGTAATCAGAACTTACGGCATACAAGCCTATTGATCTGTCAGTTGAACTTTCTAATCCCGAACTTACTTAAGCATCGGAGAGCCTTAGGCCGGTACCACACCGGTGCCCTAGGTCTTACCGGGCGTTTGCTCATATTGCAGATCACGCTCCCTACCGAGGCCTCAAGGATTCCGAAGGCATAAAATTACTAAGTTGACCCTCAGAGTCAGAGAACCACTTTTTGGCGTCAACAGTTTGGCGCCGTCTGTGGGAACCGATAAAATCGACCCTTTATCCAGAACATATGGGGACCAACTCGAAAACTACGTTCCTACCGCAGGAGGGTATGCCGTACGGTATGCCAGTCGGAGCAAGCCCAGCACCCCCGTACACACCGGCAGCTAACCCCCTGCACTCCCAACCGCTGAAAATGCAGAGCTTTTAGCCCAAGTCGTGTCCCTCCGGCAGGACATGGCTAGGTTACAAGAACACAACAATTTCCTTTCGTCCAGGGTAGACGAAACACAACAGTTGCTCAATCAGCAGCAAACGCAAAACATTCAGACCGATCGATCTTCCGAGAGCCTTCAGACTCCCCGTCGGCAGAAGAAGGGCAAGAATGCGGCAAAGGCAACGCCAGCGCCGTCTAAACAATTGGTAGTCCCGGCACCAAAAAATAAGCCCCATGTGCCGAAGAAGGTCTATTCCGATTGTCGACACAGGTTGTTGGATCGGGAAGTCAAACGACAAACCGAACGGCAGTGATCGCCGATCAGGATAAATGCGCACCTGGACGATCCTCGAATGAGAAGTCTGGGGAGGAGGTCGCCGATACGAAGGATACCGGTTTTGGAATCAACGGCAGAGTCTGACCAAGAGTACATCCCTTCCACAAATCGGTCATCGTCCTACCGTTTGGCAATGCCGACGAAGTTCTCTGAGGTTAACCCAGTCAGGTCCCAGCAGCGGTCGGTGCACCAAACTGCAGAGGAGATACCGGACAGGGACCCTGTTATTCGCCTCCTCCTTCAGAGGGTACAGAAGATAGAGGACGATCGAACCAGCACTCAAGAACCTGACTGGGGAAGGCTTCGGCCAGGACCATTCACCGAGCGCATAAAACGCTCGCGGCAGGACAGGGACATACAGCCTTTACGCATCTCATCCTACACGGGAGTCGAAGACCCCCTGACACACCTTCACTCTTTCCAATCTGCCGTAGGGTGTAAAGGACTTAGCGACGAAGGGCTGTGCCTGCTGTTCCCATCCTCGCTCACCGAAGCAGCCCTAAACTGGTTCTACCGTTTGGAACCAGGGATGATCGACTCTTTTGACGAGCTAAAGCAAATCTTCCTGAACCATTTCATGATTCAGACGGACAGGCTATACTCTGCCGATGACCTGTACACCGTTCGACAGAGAGATGACGAGCCGTTGCGTGAGTATGCCGCACGATTAAGCCATGAATACTCGAGATGTCCAGATACCGATGACAGGGCAGCCTACGGCGCCTTCAAGAGTGGCCTACGGTCCTCACACTTTCGGTATCTGGTGCACAGCAGCAATTGGCGTACGTACGATGAACTCATGAAGCAAGCGACAATCCACGCCAAAGCTGAATACTTCAATTCGAGGGCCGAACCCACGGCTCGGCAGAACGAACCCATACAGCGGTCCTCCACGACACAGGCATCACCGTTCTCGCCAGCGGAACGAACTGCCGAATACCCTGAGAGCCACAAGCGCAAGGATGCCAGAAGCTCCCAAAAGGGGCATTCCAAGAAAAACAAGAGCAGGTACGGCAGGGACAGCTACCGAGCGCCGTTACCAGCGCATAACCAAGGGACGGAGGTGTTTACCCTGCTCAACACCTCCTACGAGGCAGTGCTGATGAACGAAAATGACATAATCCCGAAACCTGCGTTCCGGAAGCCCAGTCAGCAGGATGGCCGGGATACAGGGAAATTCTGCCGATACCATCAGCAGAACAGCCACAATACCGAGGACTGCATAAGCTTGCGGAAGATCGTCGAGTGGTTAATTCGGGAAGGCAAACTGGATCGGTACATAGCCAGGCCGCAACAGGCGCCAGTACCGAATGCTAATCGACAAATCAACATGATCAGCACGATCAGCGGAGGCCCAACCCTCGCCGGAGCATCTAACTGGTCAATGAAGCAGTATGTTAGAGCGGCACAGTACCCCCAAGTCCTCGGCATTGAAAGTAGCCGGCACGCCAAGATGCCGAAGGTCAGGTGGGAACCTATCACCTTCTCGGAGGAGGAAAAAGAAGGGATCATCTACCCACATGACGGCCCCATGATTATTCGGGCCGAAATTGCCGAATTCGATGTCGGCCGAATCCTAATCGACAATGGGAGTTCGGTAAACGTCATCTTTGCCGATGCGTTTAAAGAACTCGGAATAGATGACAGCCAGGTCAACCGGCAACTCTCACCTCTCCTCAGTTTTTCGGGAGACCTGGTCCAGCTAATTGGCAGTGTCAGTCTGCCTATCTCCTTCGGCGTAGCCCCACAAAGGACCATGGTCTACGACCAGTTTCTTGTGGTGGACTGTCTGACGGCCTACAACGTCATAGTCGGCCGAACGGCACTCACGGCAATAAAGGCCCACTTGTCCCCCCACATGCTACTCATGAAGTTCCCAACCTGCTATGTCACGGGGGCAATCAGGGGCGACCAGTTGAGCGCTCGGAACTGCTATGCCACGGCATTGAAATCGGCAGCCCCCCAAAGGCAAAAAGAGACCTTCACAGTCGCAGGCTTGCCGAACGGCAATGAACCAGTGGATGATCCAAGGGAGGAAACGCCCACTCCGGTGGCACAACCTGCCGAGGATCTCGAAACTGTGGCGCTGGACGAGAGTCAACCGAATCGGTGCGTGAGAATCGGTACCATGCTGAACGCCACCCTCCGTGCCGAATTCATCCAGTTCCTTCGGCAGAATCGGAAGTCTTTACCTGGTCTTACAACGACATGCCGGGCATATCCCCCGATGTCATCAGCCACAAGCTGAGCATCTCACCAGCCTTCAAACCCGTCAGGCAAAAGCGTCGATCCTATGATGCCGAACGGTATGAAGCTATGAAGAACGAAGTGGACAAACTCATGACCATAGGCTTCATTCGAGAGGCTGTATACCCGGACTGGCTGGCAAACTCTGTCATGGTTCGGAAGGCAAAGGGCGGATGGCGAATGTGCCAAGACTATACCGATCTGAACAAAGCCTGCCCAAAGGACAGCTTCACGTTGCCGCGCATCGATCAGCTAGTTGACGCCACTGCAGGCCACGAACTGCTCAGCTTCATGGATGCATACTTTGGATACAACCAGATCCTCATGCACCCTGCTGATTGCGAACACACTGCGTTCATAACAGACAAAGGCCTATGCTGTTATAACGTCATGCCGTTCAGCTTGAAGAATGTGAGGGCAACCTATCAGAGACTGGTCAACCGAATCTTCGTCGAGCAGATCGGCGGTACAATGGAGGTCTATGTGGATGACATGCTGGTAAAGAGCCGAACGGCAGGTGAACATCTGAAGAATCTATCCCTAATGTTCGGCATCTTGAAGGAATACTGAATGAGACTCAACCCAACGAAGTGCGCTTTCAGCGTATCTTCGAAGGACATCCAGAGCCTTACTGGGCGAGTAGCAGCCCTCACTCGCTTCATCTCCAAAGCCATAGACAAGTGTGCACCGTTCTTCAAAGCCTTGAAAGGGGGCAAACACCATATAGAGTGGACTGCCGAATGCGATAAGGCGTTTCAAGACTTAAAGGACTACATGGGCAGAGCTCCGCTACTGTCAAAAACCCCTCCCGGGGGAAATTCTCTCCCTATATCTATCTGTATCCAACACTGCCGTCAGTTCAGTACTGATACGAATACCTGAGAAGGTAGAGCTACCGATTTTCTAAGTCAGCAAAGCCCTTCAGGGGGCAGAGTCTCGGTACCCCCCACTCGAGCAGCTGGCTTTAACTCTGGTCGTTTCTGCCCGGCGGTTGCGACCATATTTTCAGGCCCATACCATCATCGTCCTAACCAACCAGCCTCTTCGGCAGGTTTTTCAAAAGCCAGAAACATCCGGTAGGCTGGTAAAATGGGCGATTGAGCTGGGAGAGTTTGACGTACAGTTCAAACCCAGACCTGCCGAGAAGGGACAGGCTGTAGCTGACTTCATCGCCGAACTGACACCTTCGGAAACATTGGAATCAGGGAACGCCCCTCCACTGGTAGGCTTGCCGAACGGCAGCCGTTTAGACCGGTCGACTCCTACTTGGATCCTGCACGTAGACGGTTCGGCAAACCAGCAAGGATGCGGGGCTGGCCTGGTACTCATTGCCCCCGATGGAACCAAGATGGAATACGCCATCAGATTTGGTTTCCGAACGTCCAATAACGAGGCAGAGTATGAAGCGCTCTTAGCTGGCCTTCGGCTAGCAAAAAGCATGGGTGCTAAGTAGGTCAGCATCCATAGCGATTCACAGCTCATCGTCAACCAGGTCACTGTCGATTTCGCCGCAAAAGACACGTCCATGGCAGCCTATTTATCATCGGCACATCTATTGCTCCAGCAGTTCCAAGCCTACGAGATTCGGCAGGTTCCCAGGTCAGAGAATAGCCATGCCGACGCATTAGCCAGACTGGCATTGGCAATTAACGATAAGATTGGCCGAAAGGTCCCTGTCGAGATCTTGGCCCAGTTAAGCACCACTTCCGTTGACGTGTGTACCGTTCGATACAAGGACACCTGGATGTCGCCAATATACATGTATCTAGCAAACGGTACCCTCCCAGAGGACAAGGCACAAGCAAGGAGGCTGCGTTATCAATCGGCAAGGTACATTGTCATCAACGACGTCCTGTATAGACGCGGTTACACCACCCCCTACATGAAATGCGTCACCGAAGAGCAGGGCAAATATGTCCTTCGGGAGATCCACAGTGGTGTCTGCGGCGATCATTCCGGTTCCAGATCCCTGGCCCACAAAGCCTTCCGGCAAGGTTATTATTGGCCATCCATGCATCGGGATGCAATCGAGATGGTGAAGAGATGCGACAAATGCCAGCGGTTCGGCAATATTCCGTACCTGCCTGCCGAACCCCTCACGCCAATCGTAAGTCCATGGCCGTTCGCCCAATGGGGACTCGACCTAATCGGCCCAATGCCGCAGGGCAAGGGACAGGTTAAGTATGCAATTATTGCCGTGGACTATTTCACGAAATGGGTTGAGGCTGAAGCCTTAGCCACCATAACGGCAGCAAGGGTCGAGGAGTTTGTCTGGACTAATATCTGTTGCCGCTTCGGCATCCCCCATGCCATCTTCATCGATAACGGCAGACAGTTTGATTCGGAACTCTTCAGGCAGTTCTGCACTCACCTCAAAATCAACCTATTCTTCGCCTCCCCAGCTCACCCTCAATCGAACGGTCAGGTAGAAGCCGTGAACAAGATTATCAAGAAACTCTTGAAACGGCAACTCAACAGTGCCAAGGGCGCCTGGCTAGAGAAGCTTCCCGAAGCTCTGTGGGCCATACGAACATCCTACCGAACCTCCACGGGGGAAACTCCCTTCAGCCTTGCATTCGGCTCAGAAGCTGTGGTCCCAGTCGAGATTGGCAAGTCGTCTTACCGAACGGAAGGTTTCGAACTGAAGGCGAACGAGGCTGCGCTTGCATTAAGCTTGGACTTAATCGAAGAACGCCGAACGGTAGCCAACCTTCGAAACGAAGCATACAAGCAGCGCGTCTCTCGGTATTACGACTCGAGGGTCAGGCCCCGCTCCTTCAGAATCGGAGACTGGGTTATGCGCAAGGTCTCACTTGCAACCAAAAACCCAACGGAAGGAACCCTCGGACCTTCCTGGGAAGGACCCTATGAAGTCATCGGCATCCTTCGATCCGGCACCTACAAGCTCCGGGGCACAGACAGGAAGACCCTCGGTCACCCATGGAATGTGGAGCATCTCAAGAGTTATTTTAAGTAGCCTCCTAGCCAACGGCGGGGTGGAATTTGTATTTTTGCCCACGGTACTTATATATAAAATAAGATTATTCGGAGTTATACATGTTTGGAACGTTGTAGCCTATCGGCATATTTCAAAAAAAAAATATTTCGATAGGGCTCATTATATACGAGCCACAGCAACATTGCCTACGGCAATCGAAAGCTACACTCTTTGTGTTTACTACCGATTCCAAAATGCCTTCGCCCATTTTACAAACTTCTTGGCAACAGGCATTGGGTACGAGGCAACGGCAGTACCGCGCTCTGGAATTACCTATGGTATTCTTATCACACACAAATTACTTGACCCGAGTACGGTACCCTAGGATTTGCCCACGGCATCTCTATAGAGAAAGGGCTACTGGAACCTAGAACCTACCGAGGGTAGTGACACTTTGCCACTAATCCAAAGTGGCTTGCCCCTACCGAACTTTTGAGTGGCCAACAGCCCAATCGGTGCCTATCCTAAACAGTTATTAGCCTACGGCAGTAACAAGCATGGATGAAACTCAAAAATAAAATAAGCAAAAACGCACAAGTAATAAAACAAAATATTACTTAAATTAAAAATGCCATCGGCATTAAGGTGTTCGAAAATATTGCCAACGGCAGTCAATAATACAAAACAAAGAACAAAGGAATTCAGGCTTCGGCAGACTGGCCACCCTCGACTCCAGCAGCCTCGGCATTTGCGCCAGCAGCAGCATCAGGACCCTCTTCGGCATCCAGGCTATCTTCAGGGGCGTCCTCCCCCTCATACTCCTCAATCATTTCCTCTGTAATGCCTTCCGGTAGAGGAGGGGGATCGGCAGCAAAGTTCAGGTTCAGCTTCTGCCCAGGGTTGAACCGTTTGAAGTGGTAAATGAGGTCAGCCATCTCGGAGGCCACCTCGTTGTCCAGGAGGTGAGTGAACTCCGCAGAGGAATGGAAGCCTCGATCTCCGTTGCCTTCGCCCGCTCGGAAGCCTCAAGTGCCGCCTGCACAGCCCCCTTCGCCTCCTCGGCATCCTTAGCCGCCTGCTGAGCGTCATCCAGGGCCTCGCGCATCTCGGCAAGCTTCACCTCGTGTGCCTTGATCTGCCGTTCGGCAGCATGCATGTCCTGCACGAGATTCGCATGGTCCTGGAGGACCTTCCCCGCCTTGGCAACCCTGGAACGGCTGTCTTCGTACAGCCTCTTGGCGTGCTCGGCAGCTGTGATGCCCCTTTTCATGCAGAGCCACATGTCCATCGACGCCTGAAAAGTAAAGCCACAGATTAGTACCGAGCGAAAACAACAACAGCAAACAAACGACGAAAAGAGAACGGGATGGAAAGGCTACCATGGCCTGGAGACGGAAGGCGCGCCCTGCCTCTTCCCGAAGGGCCTTCTTCGGTAGTTCGTCTATCTCAGACAAGTCCATCTGCGAACCCACGATCATATGGTTCGCAAACTGGACCGTCTTGGAAGGACACGCAAGTGTGACTGCCTCGGTAGGCCCCTCTTCGTCCTCGGCCGCAAAGATGGCCCTCAGATGGTCAGCATGCCGCACTCTTTTGGGAGTGGAGGCGGCATCCAAGTCCACCGTCATCGGTCGCTTCCCGGACGCCTTAGACGAAGTGGCATCGGCACCCTGGCTCAGGGTGAGGACCGACTCGTCAACCGGCACCCTTCTGTTCACAGGCTCGGCATTGCGCTACCTTTGTCGTTCGGCCAGGGGCTGCTCCTCGAGGTCCTGTTTGTGCCTAATAAATCACGGCCATAAGCTGGCCGAAGGAGCCCCTTCTCTCGGCCCTGGCACTTGTTCGTAAAAACTGAAACGCAACGTTTCGCCAGGGTACTTCGCCTTCCTAAAGACAAAAGAAGAAATGCTAAGGCATGATCATCTCGGCCTCAAGCGCAGGCCGAGGCCGAGGCCGAACAAAATCACGGCCAAGGCATTAAAGGCAAATCATCACGTGACAGCAGGGTCCCAGGCTTCATTTAATGAAGTAGTGCCTGTTTAATGCAGCAAACCCACTGGCCA